GCTTACAAGAAAAAAACGTTTTCCTCCCGCTTATAACCCTTCATCAACTCAGGAAACAGAATAATTTATTTAAGATTACGATATCAATATTAAGTAACAAAGTTTTCTTTGTTGTTTTAATAACAGATTTCATATAATATCCTAATAGGTATCATCTTTGAAATGTAACCAAATAACTCACTCTGTATCATCAAACAATCTACGACTGACATAATTACTATTTCCATACCGTCCTAGTTCAAGAACAATCTTTTCAATCGTCAATTTATACTCGAAATAGCCAGTTGAATTCGCATTCTTTTTTGCACTTAGATGGAGCATTAGATAAATAACCTTTTTGTTTATAAGCATATATTCCATAGGGAATTTATATAGAAATATCAAATAATACTTCAGCTTAAACTATACAATAAACCTTGGGATTAAGGTTATTTTGATAATGTTCACAACTATAAAAACGATTAGGAATTACAGTACGTGATTTAATACTAGATATAGCTACATTTTTAGTTGTGCTGTAGTGGGTTAGTAATGAAGGTTTTCAACTACACACTGTAGTTTCAGAAGAAAGTATGGTAGTGACACAGATTACTTTCCAAATCACGACTAACTTAGGAATATGGCACCTACAAGGGGTTACGAAAACAGATAGGATGGTGATAAACAACCAAGATGGATAATTTATGCAAAGTACTATCGTATTGTTTTTTTATTTCCCAATACTATAGTCGAAATGGTAATGACGCCTACAACACACAGCAGAAACACATAAATTTAATGGAAGAATAAGAATGGGATATGAGTCTCCAAGAATATCGACTAGTTCGAAAACAATCACTTGTGCAATGAAAGTATTTCTCTACTCAACCTAAGAGCCCTTGTATTTCTTTTATACCGAGGTGATGGAGACGCTACGGTATATAACCGAAGGTTTCATGCTTTCTATTTAATTATTAAAGTTAATAAATGCAGCAGCAACACAGTTTGCAGCCTGTTTTCCATTCAATTTACTTAGTAGGTTTTCTTCCACCTGTATGTAATCTTAAATAAAAGAAGAAATAAATAAGTATATTTAAGACAATATGATGAACCTTTTAAAATAAAATGAAATTCTACCCTAATAACTTCACTTGTAGGGTTCTCATAGTTGGCTATCCGATTTCCATTCCTTTGGCAACGTTGATATGGAGTAGTTTAAACTGAAAACTGACAACATCACTTATCATTACCATTCACTGGTAATATCAAACGTTAACATTCTTCGCGAGGAACGCCAAACTACTCCGTGAAACCTTAGATACGATAAGCAACTAGTAATGATGATGTTAATTTTGATTTAAAGCGCAGATCTCAGAAAAAAATGTGGAACACTAGAAGACTGAGTCAAAACAGTTTAACCCAATATGCACATATCAGGGAGTTTACCTAAAGTTTAAGTATGCATGAAATTCCACCAATGACCTGCGTGTTTTGCTTGATAAGTATAATATGTATAATATGGATGTATGTATAATATGAAATCAGAATAATGATATATCTTCATTCACCACTCATTTAATAAAACAAATGTCTAGAGCATTGCCTGTAAAGTGAGTGCTGAATAAAACCTTTGCACTAAGATGTAGAATATGTAGAAAACAGATTTTTTCCACCCTTTATTCAAACAATTAGATTTTGCAAACAACTAATGGCAGGATAACTGTCACAAGTATATTTAGATAGAAAAAGACTGGAAAGTTTCATCTCGTTAACTCTTGGCAAGAAATTTATATGGTATGCAAACCAGATGTTTCTAAAAATTTTTTGAAACATTCTAAAACTAACTGCATGTCTCATGGTTTCCTCTTGGTTGTGTCATAAGCACCAAACATTGAAGCTTCCTTCGTAAAGACAAGAATTTGAACAAATACATATTTTCACTAAAATCTCATCAGGCTATACACTTAAATACAATATTTTGCACCTAGTAACAAACAAGTCAAATGGTTATATGAATTTTGTGATAGTTACCTGTTCTTTAAACCAGTGTCTTTAAAGGCTACTTTAGCAATGACCAATATAGCCAATTACATTCTTTCATTTGGCTTACCGTGGATTTAGAGCCACTCCTTTAAACCAAGTACACGATTAAATTGTGCAACGAATTATTTCACATATGATCTTTGATAATTATTGTATAAAATTAATAACGGTTATAAGGATTGTCGACTACAGTTGGATTAAAATTAAAAATCATTCCAGGTAGTCAGTAACTACTGGACATTGAGTCAAATAAAAATTAGAAATATAAAATCATGCGAATATACATCCGAGTGAGAAATAAACAAATGCTAAATCATATCCATGGAAACAAGTTATTTTAGTCGTTATTTACCTGAGTTTTGTGAATTCCATCTTTGCAGACAGCCACGGAAGAATAAAAGCATGCTTGAGTTGTCCTTACACACAAATGTCAAATATGATGATTTTCACTTCAGTAGATTAAGCATTTTGAAGAAGGAGAATTCTTTCTGCTTCAAGCATTTAACTTGGTACTTAGTCGATTACTGAGGAATCAAACCTAATTTCGGTATTATGACCAATTAGGTAGGACTGGGGACAACCCGAAATCTTCATTATCTCTCTTTTCGTTAGCCATACTGGTAGATGTTCCTCCCCAGATTGTGAAAGGTTTCTCACATAATATGCTAGGAGGGTAGTTACTTATGGGATTATATATAATTTAGATTAGGAGAAATGCTGTCTGCCCGTATTTTGAAGTATAACGCGTAATTCTTAAGTTCATTCGTGAAAATACTCGAAGAACAAGTATTAAAGGTTATACATGGTCCTTTAGTTTCCTCTCTTCATGAAGCTCATAGAAGAAACTTACATCTCTTTCTTGATAACCGTCATTACTCAAGCAAAGTTTGTTCGTAGGCAGTCATTACTTCAATTTTCTGTTTTAAAATATTCTAGAGATCACTTATTTTGGTTGATTTCTTTTTGAAACACCTCCTGAATGTTAATTAGTCCCGACCTTCTTAACTGTGTGTTGAAACTTGTCTAATAATGTTAATTATTTCATTAGAAAATTCTTCTATGTAAGTGGGTTTTTTCAATAGAATTCAATTTATTATTTAAAGTGAGACTTTCTTCTCTTCTATGACAGTTTTTTGCGTGAACTAATTTTCCTCGGAGAAAAAGTCTTATTCATTTACACATATGTATTATCTTTCAGGTTATTTTCTGTTATACAAGTGTTATTGTATTTCGTCAGAATCTTATATTACTAAACGTCGAGTATTGAAGTTGTTCAAATGAACATTTCGCGTCATATTTCATTTTATTGAATGCGTAAAGTACTTTTAGTGTTGAAAGAAGTAAAAAATCAGTCAGTGATCTCCATTTATACCTCTCTCTGACTGACTATTTACCACCTTTTATATAATTTACTAGCATAAATATTTGTGATGAAATGCTACCAAAAACTGTGTTCTTCAGTTTTTAATTCCTGGGCAGGTATTATGGATCAAGTTTGATTCCTGTTAAAAGCGCTAAACAACTTCACTTTACCGTTCAGTGTACTGGATATTTGATGTCTGGAGGCTACCAATAGGATGTCTTGAACTGACTTGATTGAGCTTCCGTGAACAGGAGTCCAGACAACTGAAGAGGATGAAATCTTTGCTAGGTGCTCATCTTCAAGACTTGAAGATATTTGGGCAACAGTAACTGACTTTATCGTGGGTACAGAGCTTTCGAATGAAGCCGAAGCATAAGCCGTCATGCTTCTCAGCACTTATCAGCCACTTGTGTTCACAGTATCCAGGGAACTAGTGTTCCTTCATAAATACGAAACTGTGTAACACAGAGATGCAGTTAAAAGCAATACTGTCAAGCATTTTTATCTATAATTGGACATCTAACTCTCTAACCATTATCTAAAACGAAGGAACTTATGTCACAGACTTTCTCCCGGAGATATCTTATGATTTCATTCACAGATACATAATCTGGCTTGTATTATTTATATGTGAGTGACAGTTCAATAACGACTCAGCAAACTGATAAGTAATACTGTTAATATTTACTTAGCTTCATGTTTGGATACAGGACTGTTCCTAATTAGCAATACAAGTGCAAATATTGACGAAAAAAACCCTACGTAAAATCACTCTAGTGTTGGGAAAGCTTAAGTACGATAATAAGATTTCTCAACAGCACATTAATTACACATTTTCCCCACTGTTTCATCTGAAGAGAATTGGTACGCATGATCAGTTAACCAATTCTTTCTTACCACTGCACATGAAAAATTATTTTGATACTGAAAAGTATGTAAAAGTGTTTAAATATTACTTACTTCAAGCAAGAATCAAATACGTAACTGGTAGTGAGAGTAAGCAGCCTAACTTGTTTTTTTCGTTTGCCACATTGGGTCATGAGTTCAAACTTCTGACCTTTAAAACTCATTATTAGGAATTCGTCCTCAAACTAAGATAAATAGTTCCATTGGCCAAAACGTACAAATTCTTCCACCTTATGCCTTTTATTTTAGTTTTGATTGATTTCAAGCTTAAATACCTCCGGGAAGCTGCAACACAACTAAACCATCTTCGAATATACTTCATTGGCTATCAATGGCTGTTTGACAGATGTCCTCCCACAATGAAGCCCAACTTAAAATATAGGAACACAACTTACGCAGTGAGATAAAGCGTTTCCATTTCAGCTGGATTATAACATGTGCGGATGTGTTCACTAAATACTACTCCTTCGTGGTAGATATATCTAATACAGAAAAGTAAATGCAGTTTCCAATAGATCTGCAGAATTAGCTAGATTGTTGGTGATTGACTTAGAAGGTAAACCTTGCATAGCTTTCTTTCTAAGGGTACATAAACGTATTCCCAGAATGCCGATTTTATCCTAAATTATGACATTTAAAAATTCTATCTTTCTAAACTTGGTCCCTTCTATTTTAACCTTTTTTTCATGTCTTTCACTTTACCTGTCAGATAACCCTTTGTACAGTCGGTTACGGAGATACAGTACCTAAAACATGGATGGGGAAAATTATTGCAGCATTTTGTGCATTGGCTGGTATCTCATTTTTCGCCCTACCTGCTGTGAGTTATTCTATGGTCATGCATAGTGTCTTTCAAATCTTCTACATTAGTGATGAATAATAACTGATTTTATCATATATAACTTTAATGTATAATAATATTTGCCTGACACATATCAGGTTGTAAGGAGAGCCGAGCTTGCCTTCACTACGGTTCTAAATGGGTGTGGCATTTTTCGTAGACATGCGTACGAATGCAGATACTTTTATAAAGAGCCACCTGTAGAAATCTCTACTGAATATTTTTTCTTCATCAAAATCAAACTGAAAGATCATGTAATAAGGATCTGAAATTACCATGTGCAGTAAATAATAAATCAAATTGATGGTGTAATCATCTTATAAAATTTACTTCCCAAAGCATCTTAATGCTTGAGCATGCTAAGAAAATAAATTTTGACTGAAGCCGCTACACTAAGCTCTAGATTTGTACCCAGTGGACTACTCATTCAGACCTTAACTGACTGACTAGGACTTGGACATATTCGTTGTATCACCGGTATCATACATTACGTTAACTTTAACAAATTGGAAAATTAATAGATCAGTTGTCGTTAATCCACTTTTTCATGACGTTCCTTTGACATTCTAACCCTTAATTTCACAAACAGTAAATACTTTACTAGGGTTCTCTTTAAGATTCGCACTTTGTGGAGTTTAAAAAGAAACAATACATGATGTTTTGTATAGCTGCCAATCTTAATTCAACTTAAAATTTACATTCGGCTTTCAGATAGCGAATTTTCGACATTAATCAAAGTTCTCCGAAGACTTGTCATAATTATTTAATGGCGACAACTGTAATGACAATTAGGACACATTGGTTCCATGCTGTCATGAATAGACCACTTCCGTTTTCCTCATTTTCTTGAAATAGGATGGATCTCATCAGCGTCATTCATAAATCACGGATCTTTTGGTTTCTTCTTTGAATGACGAATATTATTTCTCACTTCTCATCCTGTAAAGTACAACTGCATTTGTTTCATTCCTTAAATTTACTTATATAAAGAAACTGTTCCCAGCTGTTCCATTCCTATAATATTATTTTTTTCCCCTGGATTCCTGATGGAACATAAGGATTCAGTAGCACGCCCCCATTGCACTCTCTTCCCTGCAGTCTTTTGAACCTAGTGCCACGACAGCTCGCAAGCTTTCATTTCTTCCTCACATAATCTTTTCCCTGTCACCCTCTACTCAGACGCCCAACTTGTCGTTTCAAATTTGGATTCCACTCGAGGGCCTGGCCTCACGCATGATGTCCCCAGTCGGCCTTCTCAGTGTGTGCCCAATCCATCTCCACTTTCTGCTTCGGCATATGTGTTGAGCGATAGGTTCTTAGTTGGTTCGTTCCCAGACTTCCTCGTTGCCTATTCTTATTATTCTGACCATCTGACCTAATCTTCAGTACCCAGTGAGCGTAGGTGTCAGCTGTTGATGTGTGTCTTTAGTTTGTTAGAAGTGCTTTTCGTGACATGCCAAGTTTCTGAACCATCAAATAGAAGCACTGACTTGACATTGGGGTAGAAAATCCGGATCTTATTCAAGCTTTGTCCTGAGTGCGGAATATCTCCACACTGATTTCAGATTGATGAAAGCCCGTCTTGCTTTTCCGGTCCTGGATTCGACATCCTCGTTTGTGCCAACACCTGTAGTTGAAACGATGCTGCCTAGGTAGGTGTAGGTGAAAGAGGCTACTTCCTTTAAGTTCGTCCCTTTGATGGTGAGTAGAGCTTGTTGTTAGTGGTGGTGGCGTTCGTTGGGTATCATCATCATCTCTATCTTCTCTACGTTCACTTAAAGTCTTGTTTTCGCTGCCTATTCTTTCAACTTGTTAGTTTTCGCTTTCCTATAATAAGGAAATGTTTATTCAGTATCTCACTCTTGAGAAACAGACTAATTACTGAATTATACTGAGAACTACTAATCACAGATATTCAAAATGCAATTTCCATATCCAGAACAATTATAACCACTTCATTCCAAACAACATTTTTGACACAGTACGAAATTCTCGGCATATAATACTTCAGCTAATTCCCTATTTGTATGATTAAAGAGTCAACGAAATAATCATAACATCTGAAAAGTAACGGTGATAATAACAGAACTGAAAGCAATAATCAGAAACAAACAGCTGAAGTTAAATAAGCGTCTAGTGAGAAAATTAGCCGTAAGTTTGATGATCGTTGTTCATTCATCCCCATAAAAAAATATGTAATTCTATCCAAGTATCTTAGTAATAATAATGCAATATATTTGTCTGCATTTAGAAGTCAATTTTCATCGTCTTCTTCGGTTTGTCGCTTAACCGAATAGTGGTTGATTGAAAGCGTTTACTAATGTTCGAGAGTACATGATGCTTTTAGAAGACATGTTTAAATGAATAAATTAAACTGAAAGGAAGCTATTTGATGTAATAGATTCAGTGAAACTTTTTTCGTAGTCTTTGGTTCAAGTAGGCTATTGACAGATAGGTCTGTATATTTCATTCTACTTTAGTGAGTGGACATCATACTGCAGAAGATATATACAGTCGCTAGATTCTTTTTGTTCATCACAATCCACTACAACAAAACATCGTTCCTTTCGTGATTATACTACTAGAAAACTGCGTGATAGACTAACACTAAAATTCACGTTATATGACATTACATGTAACGTCCAAAATTATTTTACAGTCTTTTAAGACAATTTTGATGTGAGTGAACAATGGACATTCTTGGTTATTTTTGCATAAAAATGATGTATGCTAAACTAAAGGAATCACTCAATATTCTGAAGCTAGTTCAGTCCCAGCCGAAGAATGCGCCACATACCTGTATAACTTTGAATTTATTTTTATGAACAGAAACTGAGGACTAGTTATTAACTTGTGTACGTGTATTAGTTTCATTTGTCATGAGTAGGACTGAAAATAGGGCTCACTTAAATTCCAAAGAATTGTAATTATTCTTCGTTTATTCATTTATTGCTAAATTAGTTCAGAGTTATTACGATGTTTCTTTTATCTAGACTGTGAATCTTTATATATTAATATAAAGGCTGTTAAATCTATTTCCGTAATCTCACTGATCACTATGTCTTGAGAAGTACATGTTTCATTTTACGGCCTATCATTCACATTTTTGCATCCTAGTCTTTTGCTGTAACTTATTCTGTCCCCCTTTTTACAAAGTAATTTACTGTCTTCATTTCTGTCGCAGTTTACAGTGTATTTCTTAACACTTTGAAATAAATGGGGTGTAATGAAGTATTTATCTTGAACTGTATTGAATACATTTACTCCAACATATTGCATTTTTTCTCCGAATGTAATACAGTTGAATGAACAACTTGAATTTATGTAAATGCTATAGGGTAACATGGTCAATAATAACTTTTTCAAACGTTCCAATAATTCAACTTATCAAATTAAATAAAACCTTAACTGTTTAGCCCTCAATTAATTCAAAATATTTAAAATAGACAGTAGACAGAAAGTAGATGACAATAATAATTAGGGTAATTTTTGCAGGACAACTGTTGAAAAGACCTCCAAAATCCATAGGGAATTGTGTTGAGAAAAGTGTTGTTGCATTTTGTGTTTTTATTCAATATAACTTCTGTTTTTAGTTTATCATTTATAAATCATTGATAAATTACACTTTCTATGTGTATTTTCTGCCTTTAAGGTGCTGCCACTCTGTCAGCTTGTAAAAATTCATTGAAGATGACTGCTGGCCTAGCGTATGAAGTCCATGATGCTTGTAGATAAGGGAGAACATTATAAAATAATTGAACACCTTTGTGTTTTGAGACATCATTACTTCTGTTATGTGCAGTCTGTAAGCTTTTGAACTATCTAAAACATAAGCGCACCTCAAAAACTAGGTGACGTAAAAGCCTAGCCTTAGAGCTCATTGTTCTGTGCACGTGAATAGTCACGGTCATACTTAGAAAGCTATGAATCTATGAATTGCATCCAGCTACACTTTCAAATCATTTAGAATAAGGGGGTTCATTACCAGTCTCAATTAGTTTCTAACAAATATTTAGGATTGTAATTTCGGTTACGTCATCTCAGCGTAAGTTGTTTGTCTAATTCATCAGTTTCCCATGGATTATCACAAATAAGACCGGCTGCCTGGTGGAAGCTAGCTCACTGTTTAAATGTTAAGCACTTATTTAAATTAGCCGACCGATGCTTGTAATAAGTTCAAAAATATGGGGGCCAGTGCATCAAAAAACACTGTTTAATATTTTGTGCACTTGGTCCTCATGAAGTTTTGTGTCAAGCCTTTATGGTCATTGGTGACCACCGGGAAAGAATACCTGTCAACGTGAGTAAGCAGTTGTTCAGTTACAAACTTGAACTTGTATTAATTGCGTCGTTATCATAGTAAATACCAACAAAGTCTTTAGGTGTGTAATCAGTCAGTTACATGAACCATTTTGTCACCTAGTAGTAATTAATGTATTTCAAAATTTCTTGGTGTCTGTTAAAGCCTGTCTACCATTTATTTCAATGGTATTAGTATTCTGATTATTCTAACAATTTTAATAAATCACCAGACTTATTTCATTCATAAAGTGAAAATTGCAATTGAGTGGCGTCTACTGAGTTCACGGACATCTTACTACCGGCTAAAGATCAAAATTCTACCAGAAAACTGACTTACTGACATAAAATACATCACAATATCCTATCATATTTGGGATTAGTTCCTGCTTTCTGTTTCAGAATAGACATAGATTTAGTGTTATTCAAGTAAATGAGTGTCAAAATACAGTCGGAAAATTGAAGTCAACTTACTCAAAGAAGAACTTGATTCAGATTAATAAAGCTAGTACATCTGAAAATGAACAAATTAGGCTTTGTTGGTGTGTCCAATCAATATTTCAGAGGGACTCTAATTTATCAATTAAGTAAATGTTTCTGATGGCATATGAGGTTTATCTGCTCAGAAGAGGCTTTGACACTACTAAATTACTTCAATCGGACTCGATTGTTGAGCCAGCTGGCTAAAAATAGTCCACCTCAACCGACTGAAAAGTTAATAAATGATAAATTCGCGTGATGCGTTAGCAAATAATTAACTGTTTTCACTATGGCATTTTAAAACATATTGTCTTCAAAATTGTGACTGTATATTTCTGTAACGTTACATTATTGTTGAAGACGCATATTTATCTAGTAACTTATTTTCAGGGTATATTGGGCAGCGGTTTTGCTCTTAAAGTACAACAACATCAAAGGCAAAAACATTTAATTCGACGAAGAGTACCAGCTGCTACATTAATTCAGTGTTTGTGGCGATGTTATGCTGCTGACCCTCACTCTTCGTCTTCGGCAACGTGGAAAATTCACATGAGACCTTTACGAAAACCTGTTGGGTAAGCAGAACAATTTTCTTACAAGCGTATTCGTAAAAAGTACATTAAATATTGTTCTGGTGAAATGAGTATCCATATATATACCAGAAACATTTACTCCGCTATGTTTGAATGATTATTCTATACCTATCATTCCAATCAATAGAAGAATGCAACAATAAGGTATTTTTCTTTAATGAATGACATGATGGGGTTTTTCAACTCGTTGGTGAATACAGTATATCTTCCAGATTGTAGTTTACCTCCCGTTGTCATAAACCGTCTTCTTAAGATTTACTATCAAGGCTTTTGAAATATCCGGAGATATGAAGAAGATCACCACATTTGTAGATACGTATTTACGATGATGGGGTCAGGAATTTAAACTTATTCTAGCCTTCGATGAAATAAACAATTTTTCTATCAAGCATACCTTCTTATTATATCACCCTTCAATTCACAGCATCATCTAAAATAGTTAGAAGTAACCATACTCACAAATCAATGTACTTTAGGCAGTGAATACATACTGAAGAATCTTCATTTGTGACATAACTGACACCACACTCTACTAGCACTGCCTCAGAGCGACTTCATATTACTTCAGAAATTCGAAAGGCTGAATATAATTAATGGGGTTATTTTTAATAAATCATGAAATCGTTTAGTCCTGAAGGTTGAAAACTGAACATCCTAAACATTTAATTTTCCGTCTTTGCTAGGAAACTTTTTGATTTATAATTGTGATCAGACGACCATGGATGATTTTTATGTAGTGTAGGGCTTCACATTCTAGGGTGGGGTATGTAATAGTATACTTAAATGCCTCACGTCTATTTACGGTTTAGCCTCTCCTATAGACATGTGTAGCACACTTGAAATCATGTCATATCACGTCAACGTCTTAATCGTTGGCATATCTGAGACTCAAATTCTCTACAAGGGATTATTCTAGGCCAGTTTATTTATCGCAAATGACCAGTTAAGTTTTCAAAGCTTGATCGACAGCAACTACATGAAATTTCACCTGCCCAACTGATAAAATGCAACCAAAGAAGGAATTTATATTAGGAAAGAGATTAGAAGAGCAGTTTGAATGTAATTTGTAACTTTTAGTCCACAGTTGCGTTTCTCGTGGATGAGTTATAATCCAGTGTCTACCAAAACAACGACTGTTGGAAATCGCCTGAGCAATGAAGAAATGTAAAAATGCAGCGCATGGTTCTCCGAGTGCCACCTGAGATTATTGATATTTTAAAATTCGTTAGTGAGTGTCAATAAATAAACAAATGCAGAATAATTTTCATCTTTGCTAATGCTGTCTTATCTTATCTAGTGATCTTCATTTGTTGTTGTTTAGGTCTGTGACAATTATCTCGAAGAGTTTTTACCTGTCAAGTTGTTATTTTTATCCCGCTTTCCATTACTGATAAAAATATAGGTCAGCCGGTAATCTAGAAATGACTACTTAAACGGTAGGAAGATACGAATAAGAGTTACTAAAGCATTTTTCACGCTTCTAAGTGACACCAACGTTTTGTTTAAATCTAGGTAGGAGTCTCAAGATTGGAAATTTGGTATTCAGTCGTGTAAGTTTTATCACCAGACTTGGCGACATCATTAGCACTTACTGTTATGAATTAAGGATGCTATCAAATCTGATAATGAAACATCCACGACAAAAGGCAAACTTCAGAGGACACCGAAGAAATATCATCCTCAATCTGAACCACAAACCTCTTCCACCATTTAAGCCTAAGACTGGATTTGTGTAATTTACATAATCGAGATCACTTTCCATGAGTTTTTTTGCTTAGCATTCTGTTTTCTTCATTTGCATGTAACACGCTGCTTTCCTATGGCAGTTTCCGAGGTCTGCTTCTGTATTTTATAAAATCAAAGCTCTCAGTTGCTACAGCTTCCGTAATTAGTCGCGATATCACTGGCGTTTCTTAAACCCATTTTTAAGGCTTATTAATGAATTGAAAATGTTTTCATAAATACAATCCAACATAATCTAAAGATGGACCTCATAAATCTTAAGAAATCTGTTATTGACAAGAAAGTAAACTGCAGTATACTTTCACAAATTTAGCTAATGTGAATATGGGTGTGATGTCAAGAGATTTTCGATAAATGCCATCATAACTAGGAAAATCTTTTATTTCATCACAGCACTGCAGTGAATTGGAATAGTTTTCTTTGAAATGGTTTAATACATTCAAATAATTTGTGGACACGATATCTTGACTCATCATAACAATCTTAAGCCTCCTAAGCTTAGTCCTCTAGCTGTAGACGAGGAAGGGTACTACTTCCATTTAGTTTGTAAATTACTTAATCCTGAAAGAAGGCAAAAGGAACACTCTGCTTGTAATTTCATCGGTACAACATCATATTTCTCTACAAATTACTCCTCACAAAAGCCATTGATAACTACTGTTTCCCAGGTGCAGCATTCACTGTCATGCTAGTAGTAAAATAACTATGAAATAGACGTATGGCACAGGTCTACTTGCAATTTTAAGTTAACTGTGCCAATCCAGCTTATTTCCTTCCCGTAGATTACTCACCAGACTCATTTATAGCTGACTTCTTTCCCATTTTAGCTTGACAAATTCTTATTCTATGATTGAACGCAGTGGATTTTCTCGATTTAGTCGGTTTTCAACACTGAAACGACGTTCCGAGAAGATTCCTTCTGGTACAAATATAAATGTAAACAACACAGCACCTTCCTTATCCTCAGATGAACCAAATGCTGGAACACCAAGATCTGCTCCAGCTAAACATGAATGTTCAGATGTCATTTACAATTTTGTACACAATGAAGAGGCTGAAAAGTAAGTATACAAGAAGTAAAATGAAGTTTACAACTGATTTCAATCCTTAAAGGCATTGTACTTGCATAATTTAAGTAATATGGCAAACGATAATTTACTGGTGTTAATAGCAAGTAGGATACAGTATGTACACAGTTTAAAAATTTAGTCTTGAGAAGTCTGATTACCTTATTTCTAGGTTAAACACATCGCATTAGTCCTCACTCAGAAGTTGAATAGGATATTATGATTGAAGCTTGTAGTCGGTTTCGCCAGAGGAAATTATGGGCTTCACTTCAAACATTCTTTGGTAGAATTGTGACTCTTTTATGACATTTACCTAATGATAAAGAAGGTATGTCAACTCATTTGTGAACGTTCATTGGGCTGAAAGTTTCACGTAAACATGTGTTACTTATTACCCAGACAGAAGTAATACTTTTGGTAAGACTGATACAACTGAGTGAGAGGTCGATGTGAAATTACAGCGCATTTTTTTTCTGAGACCATAACATTCAGACAAAATCCCTGGTTTCCTCGGTGTTGTTAGTTTCTTAACGATTACTAGTTCGAAAGCTGTACAACATCTGCTACTGACCATAATTAGTAATTAGATACCACTCAATTCAGTTAGCATTACTAGATAGAAGTGATCTAAATGTCTGCTTTCAATCATGAATCAAAAATTTCAAATTACTCCAGAGGATCCGTTTATTTGGCAGTAGACATTTCAGTGAAAAGCATTATGGGAGCCCAGATACCTACAGATAAATATTGTGCATGAAATCTCTTCTAAGGTATTGCCAGTTGTCATATGACTCTTCAGCTCCTCACCTAATGAAGATTTATTCGAACTTTAATTGGAGGCTTCATACATAAGTTTTATGCTTTATGTGCTTCATCTGTGAATTATCCCCATAATCAGTTAGTTCTGTTTTCGGCGAATTTTTTTGTATAAGTCTTCTGGCTCTCTAGTGATATCTGATTCAAACTAAATATCAAAGTCCGAATCTGCTACTAAATACCTAAATTAAAACATTGTGCTCCATCCCTATTAAACTTTGTCTTTGATAAACAAGGATCATATGACTATTTATTGATATACTGCTGATTCTCCGTTGTTTAATTGCATCGAATTGTTTGACCTATACTGGCATATGGGATCTCAAGCGTATGCCTGTGATTTAGTTGGTTGTGGCTAGTAGGGAATCCAGGACGTGCGTTTTATCCTACTTAGGACTCGTCAGCTGGATGTATCTGCACCTCAGTGAGTGATGTTGTTCCCACTGAGGCTAACTAACTAGATTACAATAATTCACTTTCAGGTAATATCCAGACATACGCTTAGGATCCCAAATGCCAGCATAGGTCAAACAATTTGATCCAATGAAACATCGGAGAATTACAAGCATATCAATAAATAGTAATAACTACTACACGTTGTACAAGAAGTGGCTGTTGTTCCTCCGTGGCATAGTGGACAACTCCTTGGCGTTTGAAGCTACGGGTACGAGGTTCCATTCTTGGTGGGAACAACATCACTAAATGGGGTGCATAAACATTGAGCTGACGAGTCCCAAATAGAACGAAACGCATGCCCTGGATTCCTCTGCTAGCCACAACGAACTAAAGGGTTATATGGTTTGAGTAACTCAACTTAATTGAAATCAATCTCAAAAAACAGCTGAGTGACTGTACCATGAAAACTGGTTGTCAGACTGCAGTGATTATTGAGGACAGATGGTATCACTTCATGTTTTTAACATGTAGACAGCCTTCAATGTCGAAACTTTTCTATTCTCGTTACCTATCAGCTTTAAAATTACTTAAAATAATTTTTGTTCCCTTATCGTTTGAAAAGTAATTATTACACATTCAGAGTGACTACGTTATGTATATTTTTAGGATGATACAGTGCTTTGTCTTTCGTTACCTAGTTAAAAGTTGTGACTTAAAATGTAACGCAGCATTGTTATGTGAGTAGAACTTTCTATGAACCTCAATTTTTAGATAAAGACACATCGGCTTATGCCCCGATTGTGTTTATGGGTAACCAATTTATTTCAACACAAGGAAGAATGTTCTAGCTCTACTATGCAAGCGGATTGCTTCTAAATTTTGCATAGTTGTACAGCCTGTCGGCGATGCACAACAAACAAAAATATACAACCCACTTATTAAGACTACAAAGGAACTTTCTGCATACTTAAATGACTATTACTTTCCAATGGTGACTTATGAGACACCAGTTAACATACTGGAAGGAAGTTTGTTAAAACAGTTACAAAACAATCTCATAAAATGACTTCTGAATAGATACATTACTATAAAATAAGTACAGTTTTCTGGCTAAAATACTCATGGCTTAATTCTGTATCTTACTTTCTTTGATCTGTTACGGTAGTGCAACACTGAATTATCTCTATCACGTAAGAAATGCATGAAAACTATATTTTAAACACAATTTTCATACTTAAATACTGGTATTTCATATAAATAGGCAAAATTCGAATAAGTACATCCCTATGTTCACAGATATCCCCCAACCATATCAGACTGAACGTCTACATTCAGCTCCGAATGGCTATCTAATCACCTACGTATTTTAATCCTGAAGAACGTTATCACACTTTTGGAAGCCTAATACTCATGTTTATAACTTTTGTCATCGATAGTTTGACTTTACAGAAATCTATTAAAGATGACAAATTTTTAAATAAATTTTTCTAACTCAGTACCATAGCAGTTAGAAAGATGATCGTAATTCATTCTTTAAAATGTGAGATTAGGTATTTTCGATGACCAGTTTGTGAGAATTCAGTGATACAGAAGATTTAGTGAATACTATTCAGGTGAGATTCCCTAAAACCTATACGACATATTACTTTATAACCTGATTATTAGTTAACATTTTTTAAGTCAAATAAATGCCCTTTTGCAACAGAAACAAAGGAAGGGAAAAAAAGAAGAGAAGACCGTTCTTTTATTGCTTATTTTTCTAGTGGAAGATGTAAGATAAACATACAGTTTAAAAGGTAAACCTATATATACTTAGTTTGCTCCACTAGGTGGAATGTGGAGGCCAACATTCAGCCATGTAACTGGATGAAATTCGCACTACGCCATGAACTTACAGCAGTAGGAAATAATAAGCTATCAAATTCCAAATTAGTAGCTGAATGCTAAAGTGCACGCCTCAGCACCTGAAGGTCCTTAGTCCTATTCCTAGCGGGTCATGGGCGTACGGTGCTGAAACCTGTACTGCACTGGAACCGCTGTCAAGTGCTCTAAGATTTGTGAGTCTCCAACTAATGTCAGTCCATGGTCAATACCAACTTGAGATAGTCAAGGTTTGAAAGTGAAACATCTAGGTATACTGATTTGCTTGTGTGTGAGAAACTGGCGAATTTACACTTAATATCCTTACTTGAAGCCAGTTTGATGTCTAGAAAAGAATCATTTTCTTCCATTAACAGAAGCAAATAAATTTCACCTAAAGTTGCCACTTCTATCATCCCGTCGTTGATTGGACCAAACTGATAGGTCTCCATTGGTTTATAAGGTCCTGAGTGGATGTCTGGATATTACTGATGGATAGGGGCTAGCAGTGGAGTCCAGGACAAATGTTTTGTCCCACTTGAGACTCGGGTGTATGTACTTGCCTCCCAGTGAATGATGTATATCCATGTGACGAGTCCCAAACAGTAGGAAACGAGCATCCTGGATTCCACTGCTCGTCACTATCCATCATTAATATGAATAATATGTACATATTATATATGAAAACTGGTTTGTGCGAATCACATAAACATAAAGTCGTAAAGTTATAGGAGGTGAAATTGAAACCCTACCTGCAAATATATAGCAGTAAAAAGGAGCTTGAGCTGAATTTTACCATTCCATATCTGAATGGTTAAGGCGTTTGCAGTGAAAGCTGAAGGTGGCGGGTTCGATCCCTAGCCGGGTCGTGGGTGCGTACTGCTGAAGAGTCCCATACGAGGACGAAACAGCTGTCCAGTGCTCCCAGATTTTCAATGGTTCCCTAACTGATGTCAGTCCATGATGAATACTACGTCTAAATTAAAAATCCCCATTCATCTCAAAAATATATTCCATATATATTTACCCATATATTCAAAGAGCTGAGAAATAAATGTAGTGAAACTGAAAAAGAACAGCTTGGTTTATGGAAGATTTCATTTTTGGTGATGCCACATTTTCAAACGTCATACGATTCAAGTGGTGTGCAGTACGTTTTTCACTGAAATATATCTGTAAAAGGATCATTGCACCAGTATATAATAAATTTATGGATAAAAATGATTATACTTTTAAATGACGAAAAATCCCCACCTGGTGACTGAAAAACAAAAAGAGGTTACAACGAAGATGATTATCTTTACGACGACTCGTTTTCACGGCCTCAACTTCATGAATATATAGGCAAAATGAGTGAATGTTCCAGACAAGTTTCCGGTCAAACGTCAAGCTTAATTACTAGGTGTGTAGGGGCTGAAATAATGTCACACTAAGCTTAATGTTAACAGCTTATTTTATAAAATTCATTGAACATTAAGAATTGGTATCTGGGCAGAATAAATTAATATATCAACAAATAAAATACAAGAATGAAACATCAACAAATGTTCAGAATACTTGATTAAGGCCACGGTCATGAGAGTGTTCTTTCACATTTCTTTTAAATACACAATTGGGGTTTGAACCTGTGAACTATCAAAGCTTGGCTGCTAACAGCTGTCTAATATTCACCGCTTTTGATTGGTTTGATAAAATTTTTAGAGAACTTTGAATAAAGTTTCTATAGGGGTCAGATATACGGTCTACGAGGCGCTCAACGACGGATATGGAGGTAGTTTTATGCTAATTTTTCAGCAACCAGGCTGGATAATGTTCTCAAGCACAGCAACAGAGCTCAACTTCACACGTGCAAGTGAACTCACGAATACACAGTGATACTCAGAAACTTTGACAGGTATTGACAATGGATATCCGTGGCAATATTACCTGTAAATCTGAGTTTCAGTAATAGTATTTTCTTAGAAAATGTCTGAATTTGTTCCGTAGCCTGCTTTTCTTTTTATATTTTTCCCGAAAAACCCGTACGGATAATCATTCTCTAACAATACTTCTCAAGGGTTTTCTAATTCCTGAAATAGTGTATCGTCACTGTATATCCTTTTTATTCTTGATGAGAGTGAGCGCATTAGATTACTCTTCCTACTTAGAGACGTCCGACTGTGCAGCCTGTCCAGCTGCCCATACCAAGTGAGCGTTCTGCAAATAGATCTTTGAGTTGAAAAATCAGGCCTCCTCTGGAGCCTGATGTTGAGAAAAAGAAATGTCGAATTCCATTCAGCTTCTAGTGTGAATTTAACTGAAGGGTGATTGTCCCTAAAATTCCGAAAGAGGTGTGTCTGGTCCAAGTTATCAGTACAAACAGTGAAGATATCGCCATATTTCTGTTCATTTCAATCACTTCTATTCATGACAGTGGGTCGTTGTGAATGACTTTGTCGTGATTTAATCAAAATAAGGTGAAAAAACTCGTCATTAAATGAAAATATATTGCAAAGACAATTACTTTAAACTAATGAGTCTACCAATGAATTTTTAAGAGAAAATAAATTTTAGAAAAATCATAGAAATAACCAACTTAGCTATAATAATACAATAAATATTGAGAGAACGTTATCTGGGACCAAATGGAGCTAGTGTGTGATTTAAAATAGTTCCTTACCTTTGGTTAGTTAGGATGCAGCAGAGTAGTGAAATCTCCTCAGTTACGTGACATTGGTTAGACAGAAACAGCTTATTCATTTTTCGGATATCTGAAATCAAGCAACAAATATCGTGTTCAGTTAACATGCTAAATCAAATGATATGTGTTATTTCGCGTGAAATTCTTCTGGTCTTTAGTGCGATCTGCAAGAGCCATGAATAAATCTCCAACAATAACATACATTTGTTTGAGTAGAAGATTGTGGCTAACTTTTCGTATCACAGAAGCTTTTTGATCAATTAAGGAGAGACTGTCATACATGCCAAATAACTGTGAATTTAGACTCTCAGTACTCTTTGTAATCTATTGACATTATACACCACTCAACAATATGTCATATGGTGACATATTTGAGAAAGAACTGTATAGGCGAACTTCTTCGACTAAGTTGGATCAGCTGGTGTTTTCCCTTCTGAACACCGCTAACGTAACGACTATCTAATGGCAAATAAGTGCATATAAAGTATATCTTCCTATTTTAAGATACTATGCAGGCAATAAATCTACCCAAACCAGAAAGAAGGAGATTATTTGCACGCAAGAATTAGCTTCATTTGAGTCATACATAAATGAAAAAGGAGACAAATTAGTATACATAGTTTATTACTGCATGGAACTTATATAAAAATGAATTTGCAGATGTATTTTCAAAAAATATAAGAAACAAAAAGACTCATAGCATTTATGCACCATATTTTGTATTGAATTACTTTGGTAATTTGACAGACATGCCAACAGACAAAATCAAAATCGGACCTCACTGACAAGTGCATCGGTTCATGTTGGTGGGGTATTAGGAAACTAAGAACGAGATTACAACGGCTTTGGTCGTTCATAACTGTCTCAGATCAAGAGTTTGAATAGTGTTTTACAGACATTATTAACATCAGGAAATGAAAGAGAAGGAGGAAGCAGAGTTGAGGAGGCTAAATTATGTATGGTTTTGTTGTGTTTACTACTAGAAGAGTGCGGGTGGTTGACACTTTCCACCTGTTCATACCATAGAAGTTGTTTCTCTAGGGTGCATGGGAAACGTTTTGTATGACCGCAGAGCCCATGAGATATCTGCTTGATGCTTGCCACAGAAGCCTCTTTGAGGATTGTTGGTATAAGATCTAATTGTTCCAACGCCGGAGAGAGAAAACCTATGCCGCTAACACCGGTAGACCACGAGGCAGTGAGGAGTGTTCTGATTTGAGGCCGACATTACCTCGCACCACCACCAATTGGAAAGGCAGCATCAGTGCGAAACTGTTAGCCATCCAAGGGGAACTTCTTATTGTTGTCACACTCCATCCAGCTAGTAGCAGTACGACTTCACCCTCAGACCTCCATCATAGTGTAGTGATTTACACCTCTTCTATCTGATAGACCTTCCTCTTATGATGAGATCTCGAGAGAGCGAGCATTCCAGTCAGTGTGGCTTGCTTGGTCACTGTAACATTTACATACGACCACCACACCAAGATAGCAGCTGTCATTTGATTTATATTCACTGAGGGAATAAACCACCTCCTAGTTCCACTCAGCGATAATAGTTATCATTCGATGTTTGTTGCATCATCTAAATAAACTTAAAGTGTTTTATTCAGAAAGTTCAAAGCGGTCGATGTTTTAAAAAAACAAATATATGAAGCTTACAACTAATAAAGTATAATATCATTCTTCAGTCAAATAATGTCATCTTATGTGATCTGACACCGAACAGCAATATACATCTTTAAGTGCCGTGTAGTGTACTAAAACCAGTGTATATGATTTGCGCTACAACTCAGTTCCTGTCTCAGGTTATTTAGATGGCCTCAAAATTGTTGCCTAGTAATTAGCTAATGAGTGTTTATATCATTGAGGTAAATCACCACCATCATCATGGACTGTTACCGTAAACCAGTACCTCTGCACAAGCTCTTATAATCAACAAAAAATCAAGCCCAATTGAAGATTCTGTCCAATCGATCAAACAGTGATAAGTGGAGCCAGTTTTAAAGCCATATTTGTACTCCACAGAAATATACTCTTATTACTTCAGTTAGAAAAAAGAAATTGAGTTAACCGGAAATCTCTAGCTGGAGTATTCATTTTCAGGTTAATGTGTTACTGTATGATGTCTCCTACTCGATGAGGGGATCAAGACGTCCAAGTAATTACACACCCGGCCTGAAACTGGGAGCTTCGCAGAAGATTGGAGTAAAACCAAACTAGAATACATTCATTTCTGCACAGACTTCTAAAATCGTCATTATTCATTGTATTGTACTTGCTTTCTGTACAGGATGAAGCACATTCAAGAAGCTCTCGACAGTGAAAAAATACAGGATTCATTGGAGAAAGGTAAGCGTTACATTTTACAGCTTTCTCTCATAATCAATAAATGAATTATCTCTTCATTGTAACTGGTGAATTTTGTTCTTTTTATTCTTCAGTGAAGAGCTTTGTGAGGAAATTCCAAAACAATGTTTTGATTGATTTTGCAACAAACATTGGTTACTTTTCCACTAAAGATAATTAGCGCAATTATTCGCTTCATACGTCAACAAGCGTAGTTAGTGGCTTAGACGAACACAAAATTTGTCTGAATAATGTAAACGAATGGGAATGAAGTTTGAATATTTGTCACATAGTCATTCTAAAATATGAAGATCGTTGAAATTTCCAATGATAAACTCCTACTTCCATGGCTACACATATGACTACCAGTGACTAAATTACTGTTATTTGTTGCACTTTTAATATCAAAACCACTTTTGCTTGGTAAATTAATTGGTGTGAAATATACTAGTTCATTTATCCCTTAATTTTGTAGTTACTTATGTTGTGGCAAATAGTAAATAATGATATTCCATCCACTATATAATGACAAAAGAAACTTACTAATGTATGTTTCATTTTAGCTATAGAGTCAAGGAATTCGACTAAGTAAAACAGTGTATTCCATGTAAGATGGTTAGAGGTAAACGAGTTGATATATTGATCCATTCGGTAGTTATTTATTAAGATGAAGACCACCTCGACACAATGCCCTTCACATGAATCTTTACTGACTTTATTAAAGTCTTTTGGAATGCATAACTAATGCCTAATTAGACTATGCTAATCTGCCATTGGAGTCATACAGATTAAGCCTATAGATTATTCGACACTATCATGAAATTTAGTCTTTAATTTAATAGGTCGGGCATCTGCATCGTTGATAAGACCTGATTCACCGACCACTATGGGTATATAGGCTGTTGTGCGGATGCCCCCGAGGTTCGAGTCTTAGTGGGAACAACCACCTTCTGAATGTAAGGCACACTTAGCTTACGAGTCCTAAATAAGACGAAATGCACATTTTGCATCCCACTGTTAGCCACTATCCATCAATAATATCAAATTTCGATTTTCAGTTGAGGTTTTCGTATAAGAACACGACAAAGTTGAGGACTAAATAACCAGATATATATGAATATATGCACTACGATGATATCGTTTTGTACATATCACGCTCAAAATAAAAAAATAAAATAATGTAACTGTCATGATTAGTTATTTGTTTTCTTAAGTGCGTGAGCAAACTTTATCCTTGGCTGATGAATGGGTAACTATAACTCAATATGTTGAAAAGATCACTTTCATCATGGCTCAGTCAATAAAAATCAGAAAAGATTAAATTACTGGTGCCTATTAATACACCAACTTAACAATTCTTCATGTAAAAAAGATGTTATTTAGAAAACATAACTACGAGATGGTCAATTAAACATGGAAAACAGATAATTAGGGTGACAATAATTTCTTAATAATCGATGTAAAGCTATTTTTCTATCTGCTATGACAGCTTGGTCTCCTAGATGAGACAGATATGATAAAATACATGGCAAAAGGTTACCCACTAACTTAGTTGGTGAAAATGCCAAAGAAAATTGGTTAACATGTGTAATACTAAGTTTTATCCTCTGCATGATGAACAGTTATTTTATATCTCTTGCTTTGTTGATTACTTTGTGACTCCTAAAACATGAGAAGTGGATTCGAATTCCCTTGAATGTGGCGTAATTATTTGCAATACAAGTCCACCTAACTACTGGGTTTCCAGTAGGCTAAAATCTACATCTTATATTCGAACTTTAACCACTGTTTAATATAATCAAACCACACCTGTACTGTAAACAGCTATCAGAAAGTGCTTGCTTCAATATATTTGTTTTGTTTGAAAAGAACAATTCAATTTGTTTACCTACATGGTGTACATTCAACTATGGGATAATCAACCATTTCATGGAAATACATTCTTCGACAGATTAGATCACAACATAACAACATAGTTCTGAGTATTAACTTAATATCTCACTTTTCCCATCAATACATAAATTTAGTTTGTTGACTAGCCGGATTATTTTGAATTGTCCACATAAAAGCTTTATAAAGTGTATAGATCCTCTTGAATTTATCCTTGAAACCTTTCTAGCAGCTGATAAAAAATTTGAAACAACCACTTTATCGCCTGCTTAGGAAGTTGTGGCTTACCTAGCGAAGCGTTCAGAAATATCTTGTTTTGATTCCCTAAACACGCTGAAATTACACTAAAGTATATTCCTATGACTACTTCAGTTTTTTGGCACCCAATTAGTCGTTATAATTATATAAACTTAATTATGAATAAGCCGAAACTGACGAGCCATTTTGAATTCAGATTTGATATGTCCCTTTACATTTGGAATAGTCGGATCAACAAATTTATTTTGCTGTTTAATAATTTCAGGAGCTGATGAATTGCTGACAGCATATAGTAAAGCACAAATTACAAATGATACAAAAAATGCAACTGATCTGTTACCTTCAGGTCCCAGCGAGTATGTAAATATATCAAAACGAAGAGGTCAATTAACTTCATATGGCCACAGTTATCCATATCATACTACGTTTCAGCAAGATTCAGTTTTATGTTCATCTCGGGGATCTGAGGTTATCCTGCATCCGTTAACAGAGAAGGAAAAAGTAGCTGTACGTGTTATTCGTAAACTGCGATTTCTTGTGGCACGCAGGAAGTTTCGTGAGGCTCTTCGACCGTATGATGTAAAAGATGTTATTGAACAGTATTCAGCTGGACATGTCGATATGCTGGCTCGTGTAAAAACATTACAAGCAAGGTAATTGTAAACTAATATTCATAGAACTTTAAACAAATAAATGAAATTATTTCTGCTGCATACTGAGTAGTTTTGAATGATGAATATGCTGCATAGAATCCTGATAACACCCTCTTTAGATATTGTTAAGAGCTATGCTAAAAAGATAAAACTATAAAAATGGAACCTAACTCAGTTCACATGAATGCAATAGTATCATATTTCAAACACGTTTTATTCAGCGTTTGACTATCTTCATCTAAGACAACAGTAAAGGCCTCAAACTTGTTGAAAATGATTACCGTAGAAAAGTTCTTCATTTTCAGTACCATTTGGGAATGTTCTAAATATCAGTGTTCCCTGGTGCTTTCAGATACCATGTAATTTATATAAACCAAGAAGTAGCATGGTTCTGAAGGTATCATGAAGTGTATTTCTAGAAGAACACTTTTAAAAATGAAGCCTAAAACCAAACTACCAATGGGAAAGTAAATGATATCACTCATTATTTTGGCATTTATAATAAGTATTACTTGCCCAATGCCAAAATTTTTTCAGTTCACCAAACTCCAACTTTCTTTGAACACAACATATAAGGGATGGTATCGTAAACTTTCAAACTATTCATCATGCCCGATAATTAAATACTGAATCGATCTGAGAATAGGGAATTTATGAATTGGATCAACGCCATCACTTTCTAATGTAGGTGCCACTTAGAAAATTTCAGTTTCTCCGGAAAATTGACTAAACCTCTTTTGTTGTTTATGTTCACGACTTAAAATCGAGTTGAGCAACGTTCAACAAAAGACCTTCTATCTAGCATGACTTAACAGCTTGTCTACACAATATTCTTGCTTGAAGTTCGATTATTTCAGAACTGAAAAATTATCAAAGGGAAACCATTTGACTGGTTATTAGTTATGCGAGTTTGGTAACACTCTGGTCGTATGTATACGTGAAATCATTAAGATACTACCGCTAAATCGGAGTTATTTTTAACTAAGAATAAACCACGTTCTTTATATTTAAACTTTAATTAAGCCTCATAGTAGTCTCTTGCCTGTAAAAAGTTTGCAAGATGACCAAAAATAAAACCACTCATCTGCAACTCAGAAGACAATGAAATTAGTTCTGTAATGCACTACAAAACACTTCCCTCATAAATAAATTCAGTAAAACGAGTCATGTCATGTTATTTGATTTCAGCCAATTGCCAGAAAGTCTTGAACCTTGGTTTCGTGTCTGTTTGCACTCGTCAGCAAGGTGCATCTACAGCCTCGAAGGGAAGTTATGTCCCTTCTGAGATTCAAACCCGCTTCTCCCAGTGTTTCAGTCAAAGACGCTACCACTGAGCTTTTCGAGCTGGAAGTGATCTCCAGCACGACTGCATTGCATACATTTATTAGGCACTGGAGCGAAATCAATTTTATGTTGCCTAGTCCTGAGTGCTGACCAAATTCTAAGTGCACCCCAAAACTCAGGCTCCCAGCTTGATGGCCATATTACAAAATGATTGGTGGAATTCGACTGGCATTCAGTACTAGGCAAAATGAGACAGGTTGCTCTCTAGTGCTCTGCGATGAGTAATCTTATGCGGTAACTCACTCCAACTTTAGAAAGCCAAAAATAAGCTATCGTCAGTAGACTTTAAATTGAACTCAGGGACAAGAATATGTATCACTTGTTATGAGTTACCTCACTACTCCCCAATACTTCACAGTTTCGTTTCTGTTTCTGATACCACTAAATTGCATGGAAGTAGCTCATCTAGAGAACATTTTCTCCATACTTGTCCTAATAGACTAATCTTTTATCTAAATATCCAATTAGTAAAATGTAACGTGCTTTTAGCACTGTTCTTAAGAGCCAAATATGTACTAAATTCAGCTTTCTCTGAACAGTTTAGGTAAGGACTTAAGAAAGCGCAGCATACTTTCGAACTTCAGAATTGAGAGGTGGCATTTCAGAACATCACGAGATAAAGTGGTCAAAAACGCTGAAAGTCTTAATAATTTGATTCTCTGTATGGCTGTAAACAAGGGGATGATATGTCTATTTCATTCCGCAGTTTGCACGTTAGTAACCATTATTCTTTGAAGTCAAAACGAAAAATGGTTTGCCAGAGAGGACAACATACCATGAATATAGGTACTTGATTGTGGATATCTGAACCAAACGACGTATAATGTCGTCATTCGATTTTTGTAGGAGAAGCTTAGCGGATGAGAACTTTCTCCTTTCTCCAAATTTTAAACAACAAACTGTTCCACAATCTCCAAAGCTTACACAAACTCTAAAGTAAAGGGAGTCTGCAGAAATGCTTCAAATAAAAGGCAGTAACTTCCGTTGAATAGATAGTAAGGAATAGATCCCTTGAATTTCTTTATTTTATTGAAGGACAACAGAAGGATATCAAAAAGACGACGACCCGTATCCACAGCCCTACCTCCATAAGTATATAAGTAAAAACAAGTGAGTGTTCCAGATGAGCTTGCAGTCAAACGCCAAACTTAATAGATGCGTATGTGCAGTGAATAAAGTAGTGTTACGTAAAGTAAGATATCATGTCAATATTTCTGGGATAAAATGAACCGAACAGTTAGTGTTAGTATCTGCTGAGAATTAATGAACATAAAGAAATGTACATATAAACAGACAAAACAAAAACAAACTGTTTGACCCCATGGTATAGAAAGTGTGCTTTCTTATTGCTCAGTTAGGTTTGAAACATTGAATTGCCAAAGCTTGGATGTAAACAACTTTCCAATCCTCACCTCTTTGGATCGGCTTGATCAAACTCTGTAGAGAACTCTGAACGAGGTCTCTGGAGCAGCTAAATACGGTCTCTGTGGTGCTCAACGAAGGAGATGGAGTTCGTTTTATGCTCACTGTTCAGCAACCAGGCTGGGTAATGTCCTGAAGCATGTTTCTCCAGTGAGTTCATAGAATGGCTGAAGTACTTAGAGCCACATGAGAAGGTGAACTCGCGAATACACACTGAAGAGGTCCAGTGTGTCAACTTTTGTTTCATGCACTGATGAATTAACTGTCGGTTATGAGAACGGAATACGGAGGTTTGTAGCAGTGAATGTTCTACTTGGAAACTTTGATAAGTATTGAGGATGGATGTCCGTTACAATATTGCCTGTAAATCTGAGGTCCATGAAAGCATTTACATAATTCCTTATTTCCAACCATAATAACGCGGAGATTACCTCACAGGTACAATAGAAAAGTATCAGCATAAAGTCGTTTTGCAAATTTATTAACCAACAGTTTCGACATCAAAAGACACTAATTACTAATCATTAGGCAGCTCAGATACTTGTTTCAAAAGCATCAACCTGTTTGTTTAGTTTCGGTAAAAACATAAAGACCAGTTTCACTTGTGTAGATGTGTTGGATGTAATGATTTTCGCTTCCGTGCATATCACACTAAACTTCACATCATTTGTCATATCTATTTCATTTTAAGCATTTACTTTGCGTACTCAATGCTTGTTCCTTTAGATTGGATCAGATTCTGGGGCGTCCTGGATCAAAAAGTGACGATGTCTATGATTCACATCAGTGTTTGGCTTCAAGAATTGTGAAAATTGAACATAAGGTAAGACATTTTGTGCCACTTTTCGTTTTCACAAATGGAAAAAATTTTGTAACTGAAAATTTATTTAATACTGACATATATAAATTAGTTACTTTGACATTTAACGGATAATTATTAGTAAGAGATTGAAAGTAAGTTATGTTAATGTATACCTCAGATAACTAAAAATCAATTTTTTGCGTTGATAAGCTGAAGATAGGTGGGAGGAAGATACAAAAATGTTTTTAATCATAAACATATTTCAGTTGCAAAACACCTGTTTAAATGAATACTACAAATGCTGTATTTAACTCTGAATCAGGTTATTATGAATAGCGATGGGGTAAAACAAAACTTATGATTAAAATCAATAAATGTTCGGTCTATAATTACCTGTAATGAAACTGACCTATGCGTTATTGGTATTGAAGGAAAGTAGATCATATAGTAAGAGAATTGTGATTTCACACTAATTATTATTGGATGACATTAAGCGTTCAGTGAGCTCTGAAGTTTGAATCTTTTGCTAATTCTAAAGTACTGGACGTAAATTGTCGTAAATTGTAATGAAACGGGAATTAAATAGCAAAATTAAATGTGTTAAATTTCTTTTATTAGAAAAGTTTGTGGTTCATTAATCTTCTAGTTTTTCTAAATATGTAGTCCACAGATATGAATTCTACTCGTATGATAAAAATAGACTTGCTACCGTTCTATGTAAGTCACTCCAGAAACATACTGTCAATTTATTGGCCTCTCATGGAAATGGTGATGAATTTTTGTCATAGTTTCCAAATGCAAGTTGAAATCTACCAAGCGTCAACTGTTTTAGCGCTTTACCTCACTGCATTCATTTTGGTGACTAGCAGTGGAATACTGGATGCGGATTTTGTCCTACTTGGAACTTGTCAGCTGGACGTGTCTGCACCCCAGTGAGTGATGTTGTTCTTATTGAGACTGAAACCTAGTACCCAACACTTAAAAGGACAAAGAGTTAACTACTAGGCCACTGGCGTTTGAGATCGACCTACTGTGCAGCTGGTATCAGTTGTCATTAGATGCTTATAATTTCTCCTTGTCTTTGTCTATTAGTCAGAAGCTCGAAAATAAGGCACCAAATGAATAATAAATAGTTTTCAAATCTGATTATGTTGGATAATGTCTTCTTGAGATTAAAACGTTGTTGGTACAACAAATATTGCACTCTGTAATGAATTATGATTTCTGATGACGTAGTGAATCTTTCAACCAATATTTGCATGGAAACGATTATTAAATCCTACCTGACAATCACAGAACTGAACACATTCTGGAAGTAAACTATTAATCTGGTTCTGACTGCATATTAAATTTTGTTATCAGAATAAGGCGGTCCCAACAAAGTATTTTATACTTTATTTGATTCTTTAATGATTAGAAATATTTCTAGAAATAATAGAACTTTTTTAGCGGAACCACCAGCGAAACAATTAAACTAATACAAACTTGTAAAAGATACAGGTAATTGAAATTATCAACTGAGTAATGAAGGCTAAACTGCTTCCTATCCACATCCTTCGATCCTACTGTCATAATAAGAACAGCCTTCTATACGAATACTTTTTAACTGAGTCAAAGCAATTTGAAACTTAGGTTTCACTAGTGTACACATAAGGCCTATTACAATCCATTAGGATGACCTGTATAACTAACACAAAAAACTCATTTTAATCGATGGGGGGTTCTCAGTTCCAGCAGTGAAAAATAAGCATAACCAACTAAAAGTTCAAATCTAGGAAAATTAAAAACAAGTAATTAACGTTCATCAGCAGGAATATCTGCCTGTGCTTAGCATCATACGTGCATATTTTTTACCTCACAATAAGCTAAAGTCTAGAACTTTCTGTAGTTTCATTTTCACCGAAACATCAAAGTACAGGAACATAAATAGGAAATTAAGCAATATATAGGATTCTTCGTAACTTCTCAACTTCACTGTATATTTATAGACTAGGTTAAACATATGAAAAATGCTAAGACGGGTCATGGGTTAGTATTAGTTGGTAGTGAAAGTACCATTGTCTGATAACTAAGCGGCATATCATAGAAGAAAGTATTCTTATCTGCAAGCCCAAATAAAAGTGGTCAAATGTTCCTAATAAACTGGTCAGAATATGTATATGGAATGCTTACAGCTCCCAATAGCAACCTGCAGTTATTATAGCCAGTTGTAGTGAAAGACAATACTGTGGAAATAGAAAAGCGATTAAATATAATTCTTTCCAAAGTAAGTCAAGATTAATGTATTATTGTTGAGACTTCTGAATCGATAATTCCAAGCCCTCATCGTCGGCCGTACATCTACAAGGATCGGTTACCTAATCATCTAATTCTGTAGATGTCTGGTTCAAATTAACCTGTGACGACATCATTTTCAAAAATTATGAAACTTTTGAAAAATTGCAACAAAACATTCCTTTATTTGCTAATTTTTTCCCGGCAGAAGCAGCATACTTCTTATGCTGATTAATATTTTTAAAGAGACAAATGTTGGTATATCTACTAGATATATTAAAGAACTAATCTTAAGATGTACATTAAATATTAAGTTTTTATTCAACGTAGAAATATATCCACAAAAAGACAATATAACAGTGGGATCTCTACTTTATTCTCTATTACCAACTATTTTGTGGTTCATTGGTAGTCAAGTACTTTGCAATCAACTGTCGATCATTTATGAAATTAAAAGTGATATATAGATGATATTTCCAATGTTTGTTATGACCGGTTAAATCCATAATCGGTCTGGATATCTTCCCTAGTTTGTACTTATTGATTGATTAAACGCTATCACTTTAGTTCGAATGGAAATTTGAGTTTCTAGATCCTCGACTATCTAAGAAAAGTGACAGATTACTTCAAAAATCGATTAACCATAAACCTGAATAGAATGGGCTGTTGACAGATTTTTACAGCTTCTTCAAATTAACCAGGAAGAAGAATTTGAATAACCCTGTAATTTTAAGAATTTATCATATATGTACGGAAGGTATATTAGATAGACAATTGGGGTTCTTCAAGGAAAGTCTGCCTTATCATGAATACCCGTCTTCATCTATTGGTATGCATTTGAAAAATAAGCCTAAAGTCCCATACAAATTGAAGGCACCAAAGAAATACTTCTGTATGCATATGAAATCCAAAGATGATACAGCTAGCCAGGTTCCGGATACTCGTCTATCAAAACCAGTTCGAAGAAAATACTCTACTTCATTCCTTCAGGTTAATTACTCAATATGAGCTGTTGTTTACATTAGAAGATGACTCGTGCAGCGTAATGAAGCTAAAGTAGATTTTAGTTCCTTTGTGTATGCATTACATGGTGAATAACCATCAATAAATACAGTCGTTTCACTGGATGTTATATATGGAGAGTAACTATCATAGAATCAAGCTCTCGTTCTTCATAAAGTGAGAGATAAAATCCCGTTGTGGTTAGGGCCCATGTCTGTAGATAAACTGACCTGTTATTGTTGACTTAAATTGTTAGGCCGTATCAAAAAAACATTGTTTAGATGCCCATGCCATTGCCCAAGTTTGTCGAATCCAATCACTGTTTCTCAAGCATAACATTCCAGTTTTCCATCCAATCTTAGTGAAAATATAAACATTTCTGAAGTTCATTCATTAATTTTTTGTCATTTACAATCGACGGGAAAAATTGTTATAAAGTAGGCCATTTCCATTTTCCAATTCACAATCGGCAGGAAGCCCTGCCAATTGCCTCCAACCAACTAAAATCTACTAATGTGCACCGCGATGCTGAGCTTCCTAGCTTGGTTGCCACATTGCAAATATGATCGATAGAATTCGGTCTGCACTCAGGACTAAACAACATGAAATTGGTTGCACTCCTATGATCAATCAATACACAATCCATTATATTTTATTACTAATCCACATTAAATTGTAGAGCTTGTTAGTACATTTTATTTAATTATACAGTTACGCTAAGAGGCTATGAATGTATTGCGGCTTGCTGATCGACGTCTGCCTAAATCAAAACATTTTAGCATATTCAATACATTTTAAGAAATCCTCCCTGACTAAGGGTCAAACCGGTTTCCTTTTGTGACCGAATTGGCAACAAATGATGTTTTGAGTGAGTAATTTTACAAATATTGGTCGTTCAGAAGAGAATCGACATCATACTTGTGTCACGTCCGCATAAATTTCAGCGTGTTCACCTGTAAATCTTCATCCAGCTTCTTTTCCCTGAAGCGGTACTGACAAAATACACGGGGAAAAAATTTATTCGAACAGAGCCCATGCATAAAAGATGCTTTGTGTTAGAGAGTTCCTAATTGATTAACATTTTCTTTTTTTCGACTAGTCAAAATGAAATGAACATATTTTACCATAACTTTGATCATGTACCTTTACATTTTCAGATTGATACAGTTGAAATGAAACTCGATAGACTGATTACTTTGTACAAAGCTGACCGTTTATTAAAATACCATAACCATTTGGAAACTAGTGATCCCATCGAAAAACATTCTGCCCGAAGTAGAGAAAAGAGTGTACAAGAAAAATATGTCCAGTACTATAATCCTTCACGCGCGTCAAATAAACATGAAGGAAGTGATACAATGATTTCAACCGAAGAACAACAATCACAACCGTTAGGAAATGATAGATATGTGATAAATAATAGACCATATATTAGATTCACTAAACGGAGATTACCTACATCTGAACGAAGTTCACTGGTTGTCAATTCTTCACTAGCCTTAGCCAATGAAACATGGAGAAGTTTTGATTCCGAAACCCCTGTCATGAGTGCATCCTTTCAGGACAAACCTAAAGATGAGGTGAATGAAACTTCCCACAGTCGTCATGATCATAACATGCATTTAAAATCGCAATTTTTATCTAATGCCGATGAGCTCCCATCAAAACTTAAGCATATCTATGCTCTTCAGTCAGCATCATCGGGTAATATAGTTCCAGGTAGAGGCACACTTTCTACTTCTTCAGAAAGCTGTCTAAAAACCGTTGAGGGTAATGATAACCTTCCGAGAAGTAAGCCACGGAAAAATACGAAGCCTGAACATGATGGCAAAGTAAATCGTCAGAAACTGTCCAACGATCCAGAAGTTTTATTACACACTTGTAATTTTACAGAGAGTATCGATTTAATTAAAATGCTAGATCCACACCCTTCACCTTCTAGACCAAGTATAGGCAGGCAAGAAGAGATTCCTTCCACTGCAGACCATAGGTTTCTTGATGATGATAAGAACTGCTTACTAGGTTCAAATGATATTATTTCAGAAAGTGTAAAAAATGTTCAAGACAACGAAGATGAATAGGTTGTTCGTAACAGTATTTAAGTTGTTATATTTTTAGCTAATCTAAAGTAAACACGAATTTCTTTATCTTATTTTCATTTTTTACGAATGGAACTGTAACTACTTCAACTTCAGTAACTGGAAAGCTTTGAAGTTGATCATAGGGAAAACATTTTTTGTGTAGATTTTTGTAGTTGACAGACACCATTTTGTGATATTTTTGTTCCTCTTTATACAAGAATTTTATTTCTTGATTATTTGCATTTTTCCGTAATTTTTTCAGTCTATTTACTTTTTGTGTATCTTTGTTTTCCAGTTGTAATAGTAAAATATTTTCTCAACTTAAAGCCTCACTACTCCTTAAAACTGACTGTATACTAAAGTCCTTATCTCCTATTTCTCTCTAATCGAAGTAAAATCTTCAATTATTTCTTTTAAGAAATCACTATGGGACAAGAAAACATTCTTTTTTCATCTCAACATGTTTCATTATAAATACTGTTAGATCAGCAGCAAAAATGTGTAAATAAACTCATAAAAGTGTATGACAAAGTGGATTTTTCACATTCTTGCATTTCAGTGATACCAAGATATTTATCTTCAGCTTTATGATAGTAACCACTGAAAATCAGAAAGGTAAAAGTAGTCGTAGTTAAAAAATATAAAAATACTGTCTACACCTAGAACTTTCAAACTTCAGTGTTTTAGAAACAAAGAAATATAGTGGTATGCAGACTGTTCATCTTGAACGAGTTACTAACAATCTTCATCAAAAATGTCGAGATAAACTTCATTCGTTTCACAAAGGCAGATCACATATGGTGTAGTTTTGTTTTATCAAATAAACTTCTCACCTAAATATATATACTTACACAGTGATAACCAGTCTTTAGTAAGATCCATTCGTCGAAGCATACTTTGCTTATGGAATCTGTCCAAATAAGCATCTCATAAAGTTGTACAATGAAATATGTAATAACACAAAGATTTCTGTGATTGACTACAGCAAATCAATAAGCCACTGTTGATATAAAGGGTCGTGTACGGATGCCTCGATATGGCCGATATTCTCAGTTTTGGTACTTATGGTGGATACTGACTAAGAGTAAGATCCAGAACCTCTGTTTCGTAACTCAGTGACTTAGTGTACATAACTGTGGTGTTTGATTCGACTGATCCTGAGTTAGAGCCTCAGTTAGGATAAAATTGCTGACTAGGTCTTAGGAACATCCACTCTGAAACGTCCAAAATAGGACAAAAACCAACTCTAAGATTCCTATACTGGTCATTATTCATCAATAATATCAAAAGGAAAAACCATCAGCAGAAAAATGTATTCACGAAACGATTATAATTTCATTGCTTGTTATATACAAAATAATAAAAACAGCACACTAGTAAACAGCCTTTATCAGTAAATGATAAAATTCATTCATTACTTAAGTCACATCTGGACCACCTGACAATCTGAGACTGAAATATCTATGACAGAAGTAAAATATGAATTCGGTTAGCATCATAATCTTGAAGCCGAGCAGATAGATTGTCCGTATGTTAACCAAAAAGCCCACACTTTGAGTCTTTTCATGACCCAAGTTTCCATTTAAACCACCTATTATTAGCTTGTACTATTAATAAGAACAAGATATTCAGCAAAGAAACTCCTTTCAATGAATTTATTTTCAAGTTGTGCTTGTATATATATATATATATATATATATATATATGTGATGTTTAAAAGTTATATCCCATGCAGAAATCTAAATCATGCATGATAATAGTAATGATAATATTAATAACAATAGTGATAATGAAAATAGTTCGCATAAATACAATAACATGATTGACAGCAAGGAGATTATGGAATATACAACACAGTTCACAGAATATACGTACCTCACAATGGAGTGTTAATTCTGATTAAAGTGGTAAATCAGTAGTGTATTGAGTAGTAGGATTAGACAAGTTAATTAAAATGAAACCAATATTTTCTGAAAAGATTAAAACAATTAAGTGGAATAACACCGGAAAAAATTCAGAGTGAAGGTATTTATAGTAATAATAATAGTGATGAAATAGAGGCACGAAAATTAACTTAACATTGGGACAGAACTAGTCGGGGTTGGAAAATGTCATGGCCATGCTAAGAACACTGACTATATAATTCTTTTTTGCACAGAGAGCACGCTTTAGTTCACGAATAACTATGACTTATGGTATGTCAAGGAGTTGAAGACGGAGTAAGGGTAAAGATTAAGGCTAACTTGACAAACAAGTTGAAAGTAATTGTCAATCATTGAGGAATGATGTTCACAGCCTGTCCACAAGTAATTCGTATGGACATATAGGTCTATGATGAATCAGTAAGTGGACTTGTAACCTCTTCACTTCATTTTTGACTAGTGATAGGCTATTCTACTTGGTGTAACCTAAATTTAATAAAATGCCTAATTTGATCTGTTCAAAAGCTTTGAAAACAAGATAAAACCAATTGTGTTAACACTTACCTTGAAAAATAAAAACCAAAATAAGTAATACTGAACAACAAGTTATATCCCAGTTATTCGAAAATTGATAATGACTCTGTATGGAACAAGAAATACCACATTTGGATCAAAGCGAATTATGAAAACAGTCACTGCAACTGACACAACTATGGAAACTGGATGGTAATTACGAGTAAAAGCTACAAAAAAAGAAACAGGTTAGATATGAAGTCCTTTTTATCTTTCTCAGATAAACAGGTTACTCCATAAGGTCCTGTCTAACTACTTCAAGACCAATGTAAACGTAATGGTTTTGAAACTAGTAATATAAAAGATCAATAAAAATTGCGATAAAAATAGAGAAATAAGACTAAAAACACACTTTTAGCTCTCTATATGCGATACTAACTGTATAAACAAAATAGGTCAGAGTGAGCTAATAATTCTAGCAACGAGTAGTTTGCATACAAAACTGAATATCACTTCCTATGTGCTGTAAATCAAATGCATGTAGTGGGAATGGTTCGTTAACAAATCCCTGTGATATTTCCTGAAAACTGTGGATCCACACTACTTATGACCACTTAGAGGTCACAACAAATCTGTTTCTGCAACCACAGTTCTTTGAAAAGAACCAGCAATACGGTATCTGTATGCTAACCTACGTTTATAAACTAAGTTTGTAACTTAACTACTAAACAAAGTAAAGTGGTATTCCAGTATACCCTTTACAATTTTTTATGAATAAAGGCGACTAGAAAAACTCTAGACTGCCCTGGTGGATCACATTCAACTTTCATATGGGTCTCATGCACTTTTCTTTTCAACACTACAAACAGAACAGTACTCTTCATGAATTTAACAAACGAATAACCTCATAATAATGGCTCAAAAAGATACGGATGTCACATTTTTATCACCCTCTTCACCTAGTGTGAAGGATTATGTAATATCCTTGTAAAATCCAGAGATATCAGTAAAAGTGGAAACTTTTCGTTAGTCATAACCTAAGAGTAAGGTATACCGACTTCCATGTGACAGTCTGAGATTATGAAGTACTCTAAAAGGTCGTGAACCATTTTATGATACTTTCTGTAAATAGTTGAAGTACCTTTTGGCACAACGTAATAGTATGGAAAGACAATTAGGCATACAATAACTATATATATATATATATATAGCTAAATAATCTGCTTGGAAGTCAGTGGGTTTTTTAGTCTTGAAAGGTCTGCTTTGTCATGTTAGCATCTACCCGTAGACCACCTCCATCTTATATATTCCTACCTCGCTGATTCACAATCATATATTCAGAGTCCGTAGTCTAGCCATTTGCAATCACGTAATTTTTAATGTCTTCCACAAAACAATTTTCCAGTGCATAATAACAAATATATGTCGTTCATCTTAGCTTTTTCACTATTTAAAACTACCATTTTTCTGTCTTTGGTTATGTCTAATTCTAGAATGGCACTCACGTTTAGTTATTTACGCAAGATTGGCCGCACGTCAGTAACCCATCAGTTACCTACGAACTGCTAATTTCACCCCGTTTCAGGAATAGGTTATGTTAAAAACTTGGAAGATTTAGTTACTGTGGTTTGTCTAACAGTTTATGTAGTAGAGGAAACAGTTAAGCGATTATGAAATGATTATGGACAGGTATATCAGAAAGTGAACAATAAAAAGTGGACTTTCGTATCAACGGTTAGTGCCTAGGAATTAAAATTTAGCGATGCTATTTAAAACATGTTTTCTAGAACGTGAACTGGTAATCAGATCCTAAGACACATAGCTGGAACAAGCAATGGAGGGGAATAATCTGAATTCATTTTATTACTCTGGCGGTTCCCGTCAGCTGTCTACAGCTTTGATGGTTTACTGCAGCAAATTACCGTAAAAGTCAACATACTTTGGTTCAATGAAATCAGTTAGAATGGAAAAACGACATAGCGGAGCAAGGAAACTGTTTAAATCGAAGTCAAGTCAAAATGACATGCAAGGATGTCATGAATAAGTACCCTATTAGAACGAAAGTTTTGGTAAAAAATTAGATGGGGGTGGAGAAGAGGAATTTTGTGTAATTTAAGACGAGTTATTATGAAAGCCAGCGAATGGAAGAGTTAGTAGTAATCAGATAATGAAATGTAACTGAACATAATCAATCGAACTCTTTTGATTAAGAATAGGGTTTGGAGCTTGTTGGAAATCTAATGACAGGATTGTAATGTAATCAAATAAATGAAAAGACCACAAATTGGACTACCATTATAGTTGGATGTCAACGACAGATTCCTGTAGAACCCATAAATAAATCTGGCTTCAGGTGTTTAAGTGTCGTAGCTCCAGTGAAGCGAATATTTGGATCATCCTACTTATTGGTTACTTTGAAAGATTCCAAGGCATTTGCTTGATGTCTTGTGTCCGAAAAATGCTTAGTAATATCAGCACTGAGGATATTTGCCCCTATCAGTAGTCGGCTCTTCTAGACGTGTTCAGAATATTCAAGGTAACCCCTTCTTTATGCTATTTCAGTATAACTGTATCCAGAGATACACGTAAACTGATATACATGAATGAAGGTAACAAATGGCTGCTACCTATCAAAATTTGATCTTACCAGTGACCAGTTTGTAAGCAAAAGAGGGGAGAGCCACAATATACCTTCTAGACAGTGCAGTGAGCAATCGGTTTAAACATCATCACTGGGAAAACAACATTTGGTAAGAAGCCAGTCTCCATTCACCCTAATTTCAATGGTGATATGTAATTTGTCTTGATATTAAGATCTAATTTGTAAATCCCATTTTCCAATGTAAATCTAGTTTTTCATTGACTACCACGTATTTATTCTCTGGAATATCATCTTGAAAACTGTTATTTAACTCCCTGCAAAGTAAATCCTATCGATTAAATTTTAATTTTTATCGAAAGTGAAATATACCAAAGAGAATCCTTGCTAGTGAATAACTTAAGATGTCTACTATTATTTAATTAAAAATGATGAAATGTGAAGATAAATTCATATTATAAGTTAAACAACAACTTAAATTATATTGTGATGTAATTGCGAATATGAATGTCACCAGATCAAATTGGACAAGTTTTTTAGTCAACCTGAGAGCTTGGTCTTATTTTGAGATGACTTCATGCGATGCTTAAGTAATTTGGCTTTATCACACAAAAAAGCTACTACCATTC